TAATGCTGCAATCATGTGAGAGAGAGAGAGAGAGAGAGTGAACCTGAACTTGGATGAGCCCATCTTCCTGGTTAAGAATTTGAAGAGACAAGGTTCCCTGAACATCAAAGTTACTGACACCACCATCTCGCTTTAGAGTCACATTGAGCTTCTCTTCAACAGACAATGTGATGGGATCAGTTAGTGGTGGCGCAGCTGATCTAGACAGACCAGCACTTGGACGCACATCCTCAAGAATAACTTCACCTTCAGCTTTCAAAGATTCCAAAAACTGGTTTGCCTTTTGTGTTTTACCAAGCTGCATACCAAGACCTTTCGGAGGGGCAGTAGCAGATGAAAGTGGATGACCTAATGATGCAACTACAAACAGTCAATATATCACTAGTAGAGTTTCAATAATTCCATATCATATTTCAGGAAAGAAATATATTTGGCAAATTAAGGGGCAACCAACACAGTTTTGAAAGATGAAATGGCGCAATATAATAGTTGCAAGATTAGGCAATGACTTCAAGTCTAACACAAACCAATATCAAGAACGCAATTTTTAAATACATTCAAGGTGGACGTGTGAAGAGTGGTTTAGTTGTCAGGGTGCCTCTCTAAGAGCTGGAAGAGGTACTGAAATCACAACATTCTGCAAATCAAACATTGAAGAAGCTTCGTACTCGATACTGACATAAGTTTCATTTCCAGAAACAGAAGGCCAGCAGTTGACTGCGACAAAAAAGAGATCATAGTAAATAAAAAGGGCAAATAAAAAATAAAAACCAGAAAGCTATAAACCAGAAAGATAATTAGCATGAAACATAAACCCACTCGTCAATGGCACAACTGACTCATCTACACTTTGCATTCTCCACTTCAACAGGCCAACACCATCACCAGCTTGACCAGCAGGAAACGGCCTGTTAGGATCTTTGAGGCCTAAAATATTTTCATTGGAAAACAGTTCTTTGTTGATGTTAGGGTGGGTCTTGAAGAGGACACCTGGATTGCCTCCAGTCTCAATCTGAAAGTAAGACAAGATGTTAAAGCATGCCATTAGATAAAGCATCAGAATTTAAATATACATACTCAACTCATGGAGAAAAAAGTATGCACTTCTAAAGGTACCACAAAAATTGGCTTTAAAAAGTCATTAATATTTTAAGACATTAAGCACCTGCCAAAGATTTATGCTCCATCATGCACAAATATGTCATAAACGTGCTTCAAAATCAACCCTAAACAGGGACAATTATTCCACAAAAATCTAACAAACTGGTAAGTGGAACCCAAGAAAGAAAAGCACACATTTAGATGTTCTTCAAGATCTTTTAACAAAACAAAGTTAGTTGGTTAAACAAGATGACTTCACAAGCAGACGTGCTATAGAACATGGCAAATAATCCCTATTCCAGGCATGTTGTAGATCTGTCATATAATGGCAAACAAGATGATTTCTCCAATTTCTGCTGACTACCATTTCCTGATGAGTTGGAAATTTGAACCAGTTTCATGCAAAATGAAACTGAATTACACATCAATTGAAGTCATAAATCAGAATAAACATTTAAAGAGTTCTTCGCTTTAAATTAGTGCAACTTTGCAGCTACCTTCTGATCTACTCTAATACAAGTTCATCATTCAAGAAAGGTGCATTTAATTCTTATTAAAAGTCTATGTTGCAGACGTTATAGATGCATATAAATGTCAACCAAAATTAAGTACAACACCAACACCATTATTATTGGCTGAGAAATTGAATGAATCAACTATAAATGGAAAAAGAGAAGTAAACCTTTAGTTCACTGAATGTGCTTGCAGCAGTAAAACGCACAGAAATCAGGAAAAAGACTGATGCATCTACTGGAGGGACAGCATCTACTGGAGGGACAGCAAAATCCATAGATCCACTGCCAAGTGTTCCAAAATGAAGTTAGAAACCAAACAAGCACTACAAATTGTACAATGCACATAAATTTTAGTTTTTAAATAAAAGAAACATCATCATATGCTGACCTGCAGTTTGAGTTATCAATGAGAAGTATGGACCACTCTAAAATGGAATTTCTGGAATCATAACTGTGAGAAAACATACAGGTATTGTAAACCCAACTCCATTGAACAAGAAAAGTGGAACAAAAACCCATTTATTGATGAGCAAATCATTAAACTGTGTACCTTCTAAAAAGTCTGTTGAAAGCGAAATCAAAAAAGGGAGTAATCAAAGCAGCTATATGAGGTTTTTGCAGTAATTATTGTGGGAATATCAAGCTATAATTTTAAGAAGTTACATAACAAGATCTTGATAAGCTGGTACATCTATTCCATTTCCTGAAAGGTCATTTTAAAACCATTTTGAAGTGGTGTAGATGAAACATCAAAAATGTATAATACATTTTTCAAATTTTGCGGGAAAAAGAAAAACAGCAAGTGGTCCCAAAATATTTTTCACATTTTGCCTTCTCTCATACTGTTAAACAGAGACACATGGTGTGAAAAGCATATCAATGCAAAAGAAATAAAGTTTGAAAACAAATCATTTCTAACAAAAAATGTGCTCAGCGCTTGTCTTATTGTTCGAGAAAAACCATCCAGAATGAATCCTGATTCACCTTTAGCTTCTCCATCCTCAAGTCTCTTAGATAACAAGTTTATTATAATCTTACTCTCTGTGTGTGTGTGTGTGTGTGAAAAAAGAATACAACCAGAATTGATCCAAGAAAAAAAAGGCTTACATAATCTTGATCCAAGAATATGAGCTGTCTATTGACCTAAAGCAACTCAAAACTCCATTCACCACATCCTGATGTTGAAGAAAACAACAAAATTCAGTAAATCCAGAACATAAAAACCAGAAAATCCCAAATCTGTAACTCACAACAATTTATTTAACAAATTACAAAGTTTGAGAATCGGATTCAACAGATCTAACCCTTACCCATATTTTATTTTATTATTATTTTTCCACAGACCTTACCCAGATGTCTGATTATCTTCTTTTACGTTAACAGTAAAACTGGTACCCAAAAAAACCACAAATCTTTTAACCCCAAAACCACTTCTCCACTACGAGTAAAATGATCTATCAAGAACATCAACAGACAAAGTGGTCAAGAAACCCTAAATTGGGACAAAGTTTTTTTTTTTAAAAAAAAAAAAAAAAAAAAACAGAAACTCAATTCACATGAGCATTGGATAAGGCTTAAATCTGTGACAAAATTACTGGATTTTATCAAAAATTGATCATGTAAATTAGGAATTTGGGAAGAGAAATTGGAGTGTATAAGGAACTATTTTTTTCTTTCTTACCTTTTGTCCCATGGAGAGGTGTCTCTTCGAGCTTCCAACTTGGGCATTTTATATCGAGATTCAAGTCAAGCGAGACATATAAATCAAGGGAGTTGAGAGTGGAGTGAGATCTGGAGCACGAAACTCGCTGCTGCTCGTCACTCCGGCGAAGGCCGTCGTTCACCCTCGTCACTCGTCATTCATAGTTGTTGCTGCTCGTCGCTCCGGTGAAGGCTGTCGTTCACCCTCGCTCACTCCGACAATGCTGAATGCGAGTAGGGATTTTAAGGATTTTGGTTTCAGAATCTTAGGGATTTTGGTTTCAGATTTTGAGGATTTTGATTTTGAGGATTTTGGGGATTTTGGGGCACACTTAACCGCGAATGGGATACAAGCGAGCGGGACACAAAAATTTTATGTTTTGCGACGGCATATTCAACCGTCACAAATGCCACATATTACCAATCAAAACGACGCCGTTTTACCAATATTTGTTTGCAATGGGTTATTTACCGTCACAAATAGTCCACAATTTGCGATGGTAAACCATCTGTTGCAAATGTTCCTGCATTTTTCTTTTACAGTCATTAGCGACGGAGGCCAGTATCGTCGTAAAAGGTCATTTTTTTCGATGGCAGATACACGCCGTCGCAAAAGACCTTTTTTGGCGACGGCAACTACACTGCGTTGCAAAAAACCATTCTTTGCGACGGCACTTACCCCGTCGCAAAAAGTTCCGTGTTATTTGCCCTGTTTTCTTGTAGTGGTGGGTGATTTTTCAATCCAACCACACCATTTAATCACAATCCTTCCCACTTCCATAACTCCACAATATATTTACTATTTATACAAAATAGTTATTTAATTCTAAATTAGGGCATTTCCTCACATTTTCCCAAGTATTGTACCCATGACCAAAATCCTTCTATATTACCTAAACAAGCCCCAATTTTGGGATCTCATACACATATGACACCCAAAATGGAAAGCCCTCTTTCAAAAATTTCAAATTCAAACCCTAACTTTATTCAGACTTCCCATAACCCATCATTTATACAAAACAACTAATGTTTATGTTAAAACTCATAAGACAGAGTAGATTATCCCTACCTCGAAGTTAGTAGCTCAAAGGGGAAGAAGATGAAAACCCAAGATGCTTCAAATCCAAGAATTTTCGGATCAAAACGTAGCCCATGCGAAGCTCAAGCTTTAATACAAAGGGACTAGGTTAGAGAACCCCTAGAACAAGATGTATTTGTACAGAGAGAGAGAGTCTAAAGAGAGAGTGTGTTGATTTAGGGTTTTGGAGGAAGAAGGGAATGAAAAAGTGATAAAAATCTTGCTGCTACCAACTGATATATTCGAAGCTCGCTCGAGTGAAGGAGTGGTCGCTCGAGCGACCAGACACAAAAGGACCTCGTTCGAGCACAAGAAGCGTCGCTCAAGCAAAAAATGAGAAGCTTCAGGTCTGCAACCCAGACGCACGCGCGAGCGCAAGAGTTCCCACTCGAGCGAAGGAACACAAAACATAGGGCTTGCTCGCTCGAGCTCAAGAAGCTTCGCTCGAGCGAAGAATACCAACCTTCAAGTTTTTCAAAGACGCAGACGCATGCTCGAGCGCAAGAACTCTCACTCGAGCGAAAGGACAAATAACACAGGCCTCGCTCGAGCGCAAGAAAGCTCGCTTGAGCGGAAACTGCGTCTGAAAAGAAACCAGAAGAGCCTCAATCCTCGCTCGAGCGCAATAACCTTCACTCGAGCGAAGAAGCAAATACCCAAGGCTTGCTTGAGCGCAAAAAGCCTCGCTCGAGTGAAGAAGCCAAAACCTGGACAACAATCATTTGTTTCATTACACAACCAACCTGCAACAAACTTACCCAACACATCCCAAAACTCGAATACAAGGAATTGAAGGATGAAAACAAGATATAGACACAACAAACAACCTCGGAACCTAAGTCCCGAACACAATATATGACGGGGAAAATCGGGATCGCTATATAATCACATTCACAATTCCATTTTAAAAATATTTTACTTATCTAACTAGGTTAAAATTTGTTTTTTTGACTTTTTGATTTTTTTGAGTCACTTCACCTCTCTATTTTTTTATAATTTTTTTCAAGAAAAGTAAAAAACAAAAAAAAATTAAAAATCAACTTTTAATCTACTTCCTAAAACAATTCTTATTTTCTCCCCCAAACATAAAATATTAGACATTGTCCTAGCAGACCATTTGATAGTATTTTTTTTTTAAAAAAAATCTTCTCATTTTTTTTGTTTCCAAAAAATATTTTTCCAATAAGAGAGATGAACTAAAAAAATTGTCTAATCTTGTGTGATATTATTTATGTTTGTATATATACATGGGTGAATGTGTTCTAAAAAAAGCACTCCCTCTATTCCAAAATATTAGTCTCTTATTTCATTTTTTATTATCCTAAAATATTAGTCCTTTTTTAAAAATTAAGAACTAAAATACTATGAATATCTTAATTTACTATTTTTGAAAATTCATTAACAACACAAAAAGTACAATTATGACAATTAATATTTTAAAAAGATGTACTATTAGATTGTAATTTTAGAAAATTAATATTTTTACTATATAATAATTATACTATAAAAAAAATAGATTCTCTAAAAAAAACTATTATTTTGAGATGGAAATAATATATATATATATATATATAAATAAAATATATTTTTTTTGTGGAGTGTTATTAGTCTTTTTATAAAAATTAAGAACTAAAATACTATGAATATCTTATTTTACTATTTTTCAAAATTCATTAACAACACAAAAAGTACAATTATGACAATTAATATTTTAAAAAAATGTACTATTAGATTGTAATTTTAGAAAATTAATATTTTTACTATATAATAATTATACTATAAAAAAAATAGATTCTCTAAAAAAAACTATTATTTTGAGATGGAAATAATATATATATATATATATATAAATAAAATATATTTTTTTTGTGGAGTGTTGTGCGGAAGCGTGGGACAGAACCACATGGGTTGCCCAGTTGACTCATTGACTCATTTATTATTATTATTATTATTTCTTTTCCTATTTTTTTCATTTCCTCTCTAACTTCTAGGGAAAGCAAGTTCAGCTCTTCCAATCCAAGCATGTTTGGCAATTTGGTAAAGACTTGGAGATTAAGACCCATGTTTTAAGTTCGAAATCCCTTGGTCAACTTTTTGGACGTAGCACAGTTAGTTAAGAGGTTAGTCTTAAGTTGTTGTTACCACAACATTTGGTATGGGACTAATGTTCTCCCATGCACGAGTCCTGACTTAAGCGGAACTTATCTTGGGAGGTGGGTCAAGTTCTCAGGTTATAGTATCTTTTTTTGGAACGAACCACGGGACACCTTGGTGATCTTTGCAAGGCGCACTGCCTGGACCTGCGAAAGAGTGGAAGGATTTTCCTGTAACAAAATAAATAAATAAATAAATAAATAAATAAAAAGTCCAGCTCTCCCTATCTCACAATTGTCTCTCTTTCTCCGGCAAGTCAATGTTTCTTTCCTCCTAATCTCTTAATATTTTTGAATACAACAAATTTGTGAATTTTTTATTTTATTTATGGAATTAGAAGATAAAATCCAATCTCTATAAGTTTTTTAATTTCTTTTTTGGGGTGTTTTAGAAATATGGTTAAAAGTTATTTATTTATTTATTTTATTTGAAAAAATGTATAAAAAATATAAGATATAATATGAGCTAAAATAAATTAAAAATTAACTTTTAACTTTTAAGTGTGTTGCCAAATTCACCCTAATCTCATTTTTTCCCCCCTCTTTAGAGCTTATAATTGATTGCAATAATGTTCATGCCTATCAAGTATAATCATTTAATTCACTCACTATGTAATCTATGACTCAAATACATTTAACGCACCCTCTAAATTATTAGAGTTATGATATGATTTGTCCATATTTGGTATGTCCATTTGGACTAAAATAGTTATATATGACAAAATTAATTATTTTAGTTGAATAGAATAAAATATCGCATTTAAACTATAATCATTTTATTCTTTCTCTCACAAAAGTCAAAAAAATCAAAAAGCCTATTTCAAACGAGACCTTTTATTCCTAGGCTAAAAAAACCAAAGAATCAAAAAGCCAACTTACATCCCAAACAGAGGCGATGTGATTGGCTAATAATAAATTAATGATGAGTATAATCTTAAAAAAAAATTTATAAGTTTTAGATGTAATAAATTTATTGTATTTTTGTTCTTTAATCTATATATAAAGAGACTTGTAAAATGAGTGGATTGAATTGAATCATTGAAATAGACTTGTGATTGACTTCACAAGAACCGAGACAATTTCATGCAGAATTGTTGGCTCCCCCACTCTTAGGTTTGCCATGGCCTTAGGACTTTCCACCTCCCCTACTCTTGCGCAAGGAACCACTATCTCGTTGCTTAGGTTCGACGTAGTCTGTAAGGCACTTAGCTGCTGCTTGTGTATCAGCTAAATCTTGCAATCTTTGCCTTTGAAGTTTAACTCTGGCCCATGGCTTCAATCCCTCAAGAAAGAATAAGAGCTTGTCTTTCTCTGACGTGTCTTTGTTGTCTAGCATAAGCCCAGGGAATTGTTTCACGTACTCTCTTATAGTGCCAGTGTGTTTGAGATCTCGCAAAGCATGTCGGGCATTATACTCAACATTTTCGGGTAAGAATTAGAACTTAAGTTCATGCTTGAGTTGCTCCCAAGTCTCAATTGTGCATAAGCCACGTTGCATCTCATCATGTTTAGTCCGTCACCACAACTTGGCGTCACCAGACAAAGACATTGTGGCTGTAGAAATCCTTGTCTCCTTAGCTTCGGCTTTCATAGATTTGAAATATTGCTCCATATCAAAGAGAAAGTTGTCTAACTCGTTGGCATCTCAGGCGCCACCATAGGCATGGGGCTTAGGCACATGTACCCTAGGGAATTCCATGCCACCACCAGGTGTGTTGTCAAAGGCACGGGTAAGAACACTAACCTGGCCACTAAGATCTTCAATCTCTAGCCTGAGTTCAGTGACAACATCCTTAAAATCTTGCCCTTGAGTAGGGCTATGAGTTTGCTCAAGATCATGAACTCGTTGCTCAAGGTTGGCTTATGAAGCTGCCATGGCCTCCATATTGTCCATAAGCTGCTCCAAGAGCTTAATTCTCTCCGTTTGTGTGGGTTGACAGTTGCCATGAGCATCCATTTAGAAAGCCAAGAATAGAGAAAGCCAAATAGACTGGGCTCTGATACCAACTGTCACACATCGGCTGTGTAGAAGCCTTGCCAAGAGATATGCAAGTGTGTGTGGCGCTAGTTAACACTCTTCACTAGCCCGCCAAGAAAGCTCAAAGGGTTTTCAAAGACAAGAA